AGCAGTTCAAGTGCTGAAAGAGCGTAATTGTTTACTCATGTAAGTGCCTTATCAGATTCGCTGTCACTCGTGAGTGCCGAAACCTGAAGTTCGATGGGCATAACACTGCAACCGCCGACCAACTTCAGTGGTAAGCCATTATGACCTCGCATGGTTTATCAGCCCGCTTGCCGTTTTTATTGCACTACAGTGGAGAGTAGCACACTTTATGTGGTAACCTCAGTAATAGGATGGTAAGCCGCATAAATCGCATATTATGTGATACAGTGTGTGTGTGTGTATGTGTGTGTGACAGAGGGTAAAATGGAGTACCACAAACGTTGAGACGCATCCTTAATTTCCAAATACACCCGTAGGATTGATTTTATTCGTCGAACTACCACTACCCGAACATGCTTGTCGAACTGGGTAGTGGCATCAGGTAGTTGGGTTGAAAATATGAAAAATTCAACAATCATATCCGTTCAGGGAGATGAAGCCACTCTGTCAAGCTGAGGTCCAAAAAAGCCACATCCTCCCGCATTCAGTAGATGAGAAACGCTACGGGATCTATCCCAGAATCGTGAGCACTACGGTTTCAAATGCGTCAATCACCCACGAGGTTTTCTCAAATAGTTCACTGAAGGACACAGATAAGACTGTCTCATGTGCTTGACTAAAGAGACAGCACTAACACTTTTAAAAGCAATTTTATCCTTTTTCGCAAGGTGAGTTGGAAAAACAACAGCAGCATGAATACCTATTAATCAGACAGAGTTAACGTGCGACTCAACGAAGAAAACCCCTTGAAACCACAAAACAGCTGTTGTCTTTGCTGGAAACCAGCACTAGCCCAGAACTATCGAACCCACAGGGATTCGAACGCGGGGTTGGACCTTTGTTGTGCTCCAGAAGTCAACTCTAATTCATACAGCGAGTCAGTTACTGCCTGACAATGATCGATGCTTTCAATGAGATGGCGTTGACGTGTAGTATAGGCTAATGAAACTTAAATGTTCCGCGCGTCAGATCAACCATTCTATGTGCTCAGATTCGAGTCCCAGTGGTTTGGTGATGATTTCTAACGAGGATGTGTCATACTTTCCAAACTTTTCAGTGGTGACACGTTGACTCTATCTGACAGTTACATCCCCATACAGGCAAAATCACCCTAATCATTTCAACGAAAAAGCACGAATAACAATCTGAAGATAATGGCAGTTCAAACACTAGAGACAAAGGACAAATCGGTGGGTTTAAAACAGAAGAACAAAAATAGATGTCAACATAATAGGAAACGCACAAACTACTAGATCCACGAACAATCTATCTACGGCCAACGCGAAAGTACTCAGACAGTCGAGCAAATCGCTGGCGCGTGGGAACCAGTAATGCTCTAAAGCGAAATGCATTGTGGACTACTGCGGTTCACCAAAACAATTGATCTGTAATGCGCAGAATCCGCGTGGTGGCAGGAGATACATCGTTTCTACTGTACAAAACCAAACAGTCCAATAAATTTATATCAATGCAAAAGACGCGCAAAGCGAGAAGTTGAATGTGATGCAAAACGTCAGTCTGAGGGGGAAAGCACATACCCACATGGATCTAAACAGAGCAATTTGGGTGCCGGATATCAAGGGATCGATATGAGATCAAGGGTAAAAAAAACGCATTCTGTCATATAACTGTACTGAAAAAATGACTTGTTTTTTTATTTTACCCGATGAATGATGCTTTGGTAATGAGAAAAGTGGTTTTTATCTTTTAAAACATTTCTTTTCAATTAGAAGGAAAAAAGAAGTGTTATTTGGTCTGCAAAATAGGAACCTAGTTTAGAATATATTATTGGATGCGATCAATGTGACTCTACAATTAGGCCTCCTGTCGGTAGAGTCTAGATGCAAAGAATCATCACCAGTGAACGATATCCATCAACCCGACAGAGATTTGAACATAGAGACAAAGGTTTTCGAGGTTGTGTGCCATGGGAGGGGATCAGACAGATAAGTTGAATGAGGAAAATAACCATTTTTTGTTTGTTTCACCGTAGTTTTTGCTATTTTTGTGTTAGTTTATAGTCTTTTATGGGACACGGGATTTCAAGAGAGAGACCGTACAGCATTCGCCTCAGTGACTTCTCTTCTTGGTCTCTCAGCGTCTCTAAGCAACGAACAATCCTCATCCCAACCTGGAAGGTGGGCTGCACCAACCGAAGCCAAAGCTTATGCTGAGGCTTATACTCCTATGATTGGTGCAGTCACTGCGCGGGCTCTTTTTGAAGATGGGGATAACAATTGATTCCTCCCAGGAGGGGATCTACTCAGTGTTCAAAACTTTAAAGAGCAAAATCTTTAGTTGAACTTACGTCTACACGAGATTTTGCCAAGATGGTATGTGAAAAATATACTACGGGTCACTGAATTATGACTGCATCTCGGTCGACAGGTAAACCATGACTGGTGGGGAAAAACCGTAACGAATAAACATCAGCAACCTGTTTTAAATTATCTCTTATCAGATGATCAAGATGGGAATCTTCTCAATATATTCAAGAACTCTTTTATTTCCAAACCTGAGGTTAAGTACATCTTTGAGCTGCTATTCTTCCTTTCTGAAGACCACCTCATGCTAGAAGATAAGGCAGGTTCGTGGACATCTAGAACAGCAACTTCATGTAAGCAGTGGTTGTTGTTGTCGACGCAAATGGCACTTATATCACGAATTCATAAACGGACTCCTCAGACTACACAAATCATGATAGTTGAATTGGACCGACCAGCCTTCGGAGGCGATCTTGAAGCACAATTCTCAGTTAACCTAGTCATTCATCTACTCGGGGAGCACTAGATTCGAGCTTCATTCTCGTTGCAGATTACCAGCAAACAGTCAGGACTTGGAACTCTGGGTCCATCACACTACCATCACTACTAACAAGGAAATAAGTAAGATGATAATTAAAAAAGGTTTAAATAGGACAGTGAGCTCAAAGATGCAACGTAGACCCAACTTGATGGAAAGCTTTTGACTGGAGGCAACAAACAGTATACTGTCTTTTTTCGTTGTTGTCAGGAAAAGTAATGACTGGCTCTCTGGACAAAAATAATTCGGTAATTTTGAATAGCCCTGTGTGTGCTGATTGGCACAGTGGACACATAGACACACGCCCTCCGTGTGACGGGGTTGGAGTTGAAAGCCCGGACGATACCGTGGGTACGTTATTGATGAGTTCGAATAAAAAGGAAACTCAAGCCTAGTGATTGATTGGTTGAACTGAGAATCATACTTGAAGACGGAGTTTGCGGGATGACAAGTTCGCATCAACATTTATCCCACCGGACTACCCACAAGAAGCCGAGTTATTTTTTATTACACGCCCTTGTGTTAAGCCCCATACTTGCAGAACTGCTGTATAGCGATGGAAACCGGCACCTAATGCCCGGAACTTGGAGTGCTGAATTACATAGGGCTTCACTAGGTTAGACGTGGTATCGGACCGGACGTCAGTGAAGCTGCCTACCACTAAAGTTGGGTGGTGGGGGCTTGAATCTGGAACCAAAGCACGCCGGTAACAGGGACTGAACTGCTGCACCCTGGATGCGACTGCTAACTAGCGACTTAAGGAAACACTATATTTTCCTCATAAAACTCCTATTTCTACTCTCTTTCTTTTCACTCTCCTCAGACCTTGATGCTATTTCTTACTCGTTGTTCATAGTAATATTAAAGTTACGTTTTGAAATCTGCGGTCTATACTGGTGATTCAACTGTTGCACACGAAGGCTGCAGCGCTACTCCTAACAAGCCCCGCAGACTGGAACATTACGAGTAAGGGATCACGTGTGGCCGTGGACACCATTCACTTAATTAGAGAAGCGTCTATTAGATCTGTTGAAGCACAATACCTTCCACGGCGTTCATCAATGCAAGACGCTGAGCAAATTCGCGAGTCGCCAATTTGTCCTGTGAACTGACATGGTCAACCAGAGCCTAACCAACAGGGTTATCGAAGTGCGCCTTTATGGCAGCACAACCAAGTGCGAGATAGTAAGGTTATGCTTAAAGGCTTCAATCGTTTCCATTAACCTCCGTCTAGTTCAGCCGACCAGCACAGCAGTTTACCAGGGCATTGCTACTGTTTGCTGGAACAGTTGCAAGGGGATCGCTAAGTGAAGATTAAAATTGGGAGAAATGTACCAAAAAGAATCCACAGTCCCACAATCAGAGGAGATGTTTCTTCCTGCAACTCCATATGTAGACTACCTGATCAACGTGGAATGGTATCCACGATCACTTACAATCATAAACATAATTGCATTCCTTAATAGTTCTCCACTGATACGTGATTCGTTGGTCATTGTTTGCAATTTCCAGACAGAAGTATCGAGTCGGATCAAGCAGTCCGTCAACTAGTAGTGGTCAACTTCAATTTGTTATAAGAATAGTACCATCCCTGTACAGTAAAGTAGTCTAAGCCAAACGGTGAACGAGTTTGAGTCCAAAAAATACACAACTGGGACTTACGCCGCATAATGGCGAGCCTTGCAACAATGCGCCTTATGTAGGTATTTCAAAATTAAGTTCAACGCATGGATCGAATCGGTACAATAACACACGAGGAACACAAAATTGGTCCACATTTACATGTAAGTATTATTTTACTACACACTTGAGTGTGATGAACAGTAGAGGGGGTGAACCCCATAGTCACGAGGGCCTGCTGCTCAGTGGTGGAAACCGGCAACCTAAGCCCCGGGATTTGGACTGGCGAACCACATAAGGCTCCCATAGGTTAGGCGTGGTATTGAACCGGACAACAGCAAAGCTGCCTACCACCAAAGTCGGGTGGCGGTGGCCGGGCTCGAACCTCGGACCATATGGTTTAAAGCACGCCTGTGACAGTGTCAGAATTCTCGGTCGCATGACTATCAGTTTCAGTTTAGTTTATACGATCATCGAAAAGTGGGCGAAATGATCAATCGCTTTGGTTTAGACATTAACTGCCGGACTACGTACAGAGCTTAAAAATCGGCACGAAACACAGAGGCACAGGTAACAACTTGTCTGTGAGAGAAACGCACAAAATTGTTCCGACATTAATGCAAGCACGTACTTTATGGCGCTGAAGGTAGATTCCACCTTCTCCTTTGCTTCTTGTGCAGCTAAAACTGTTTTGTCCTTGGCTTTACCGAGAAATTCACTAGTTTTAATGTATCTGGAATTGAAAGAACAGTTTAGAACTAGTTAGTGTATGATAAAATAAGCACCACATAACGGAACCGGTGTTCAGTCTAGTCATACGGGACTCAACACTGGCCGGTTGAAATAATAAAATAAATAAATAAAATAAAATAAAAAATAAATAACAATACCGTCATTAAAAGAATTGTCAGGAAAATTAACTCTGCTCTGAACTCGACATAGCTCCCAAACATATCTTTACTACATCTCAACTTGACCACCGACCAATCCCGCTAAGGAAATGGACGTTGCCCGCTGTTGAAACAATACGAAAAGAGACATTAGGCTGAAGAAATCTGTGGAACTAATAAAACTTGAGTCGATTTTGAAAGCGTTCAGGTTGATAACAATAGCAGGTGGGTTCTTGAATTTCTGTGAACTATATATAGCAATTATCATTTAAAGTGAAAGAGAGTACCACCGATGGAGTGGACGGAAATGAACCACTTTTGATGATCGCCATTACCAAAATCGTCGAGAATGAACTCGCAAAAGCATAGATCTACGCTACCNTGGGAGAAGGGCGATCAACTGGTGTTTAACCATGAAGATAGATTGAGAACTTTACAAGGGCTCCTTGCATAAGACCATACATTTTTTGGTAGAGCTGTGACGCCGTGAATGCGACTCAGTTGAAGGACTAGACAGATGGGACTCGCCCTTGAATATGGCCATTGACCCTCAGCGAGTTCTATTTTTTATCGGACGATTTTCAGGTTTCAAAACCATTAGCCTTGCGCCTTTGTGAAGCAGTTCTGGTTGCTCTCTTGTGACAGTTCATTTGACCTAAGGAGAGAAGGGAAGAACTAGAAAGCTGTGGGTAGTGAAAAAGTCAAGACTGAGATCCAAGAGAGATCCGATATCCTCATCTCGGCAAACAGTACCCGCCGTGGCAGTGCATTTTGCGACATGGGTAGCACATGGCCCAACCAACGCAGTCTACGGGAGTCAACCACTTGCACCAGTCGGTGACCGTAAACACCTTAAACTCAGCATTGAACCCCAGCAAAGCTTGTCCAGTTGCCCCACCAAACTCGTGCAATGTGACGTAGACAGCGGAGTTTGAAAACCGACAGCTCACCTTTATCCTGTGTTTGTAATGATCAAGTCTCTGCGCCGTGTAGCAGAACTGGCTCAACTGTTGCAGCATACACTCGACTCTTCACATACAGTCGGTGCCACAAAAGTTTCAAGGTGGCAAATTCCAACCGGGCCTTCTGCACGTGGGCCGACACTTCGATGATGTATCCGGTGGGTGAGTTGCAGCTGCCCAGATAGCAATGAGAGCGAGGTCGGGAGCTGGACCAATCCATTCCTGTAGCAACGTTTTCCACTTCAAGGGTGCAAAACGCATAACAAACATAGCTACACTAGCACTCAAACTATCTAGAGATGCTTGCAACTTACCCGAATCTTCACTTAAAAGTACAATGCTGCTTAAGGGAAGACCCGAACCGCGCACCGTTACGATCCAGTTTCTCCTTACGTCTGATAAACAACGGTAAAAGGGCCATCATAAATAGATCCCTACAATACTTAGTCAGCAATATTTTCAAATCGGCCTTCGAAGCGGAACCCTGCATTGGTAAACGCGCAGGGTAACCAGGACCGCGCTGTACATTGCTTCGAGCGGGGTGGGTAGTGGTAAGTGGGTTACTGCTCAGACATACCAACTTTTGCTTAACTTCTCATCCTCCGTACCCAACCCTTTCCCTTTAGCCCTTCCTCCACCAGACAACTTGGTTGTCACTCGCCGAAGTTCGTTGCCAAGTAGCGATGTAAGGAGCTCACCATAAAATAGATAGTCGATTCTGGAGCCTCGTCAAACACTGAACCTGGGGAGGACTCTGATGCAGGTAGGTCAACAAGCATGTCTGGCCCGTACAATGGACTATTTGAGGATTGATGTCTGCTACGTGACGGAGAATCGAATCCAGGATTCTAATACTATATACCACTTAAGTGCACCGGGGTTGTCTTCGAGGTTCTTCCTCGGCACGTCAGGTAATGACGAAGCCCGTTCAGGCCAGCGTGGTGTGGGCATTGAACTGAATAACACAACCGAAGCCGAAATACTCGATTGGATCCCCGTCAACAGCCGCTTATGTGCAATGCGGCTCCAAAAGTCTATCAGCGTCCGGAAGGGAAGCAACACCAAAAGGTGTTTATTCGTCATTTCAGCTTATGCACCGACCAACTGCAGTTCTGACGCACAAAAGGACGAGTTTTGTGATAAACTCACCGAAGTCATTCGTTCTAACCCAAGCTCCGATATAGTTGTTCTCTCAGGTGATTTTAACGCTCAATTTGGAAAACTGAGCGCATCGGAAGCTTGCCTAGGCGATAGTTGTGCTCTGACCTGCTCTGCTCTGCGAACAGATAATGGCGACCGACTTCTTCAGTTCTGCACCATCATCACCATCATCTGTTCCTATCAAGCACCAATTTCCGACACAGCTCTCAACTGACAGACATGTGGCGCTTCAATTCAACCCGTACCCTAACTCAGATCGACCACATAGAAGTAAGCTACCGTTGGCGTGATTCAGTACAAAACTGCAGGTCTTATTGGACCACTTGCGTTGAATCTGATCACACATTAATTTTGATGTAGTTTACTCTAACTCATTGGTCGCCGAAAACCCCGCCAAACTCCGTTGGCAGATCATTGCTTATCTGACCCAGCCGTTCGTGTCCGTTTTGAATCACAGCTAGAGCAAGAGCTAAAGGCAGCGTGGTAGTGCAGATGAACAATGGGATCAGATTAGCCGAGCAATGCACTCTGTAGAGCATTGTTTGTGGATCTGAAGCGGTGGACCCTCAGACATTAGATATCTGATGAGTAAGTAGCGCAGTGGTTCAGTCGCTGTCACCGGTGAGCTTTGTGCCATATGGTCCGAGGGTCGAGCCCGGCCACCGCCACCCGACTTTGGTGGTAGGCAGCTTTGCTGTTGTCCGGTTCAATACCACGCCTAACCTATGGGGGCCTTATGTGGTTCGCCAGTCCGAATCCCGGGGCTTAGGTTGCCGGTTTCCACCACTGAGCAGCAGGCCCTCGTGACTATGGGGTTCACCCCCTCTGCTGTTCATCACACTCAAGTGTGTAATAAAAAAAATTAAAAAAATAATGGAGTAAGCCGTAAATCCTTACCGCCCGGGATCAAATCAGGGGCAGGTGGAGTCTGCAACGTCAGCTCACCAAGAGCCTCAAGAAAGATGACGAGAACCGGTGGACAACAATAGTTAGTGAAATGGAAGTAGCAGCTTTATCAGGGAATAGTCGAAGACTATCCCGGCGAGCCACAATTAGTGAAGCAATCTGCGACAAAAGTGGGCAAGCCATTCACAGCAGAGAACGGCTTGACCGGTGGGTGGAGTACTTTAACGAAGTTCAGCTGGCCAGGCGCTCACCAGACTATCTCGTCTGGTATAGATGAGGCTACTTTGGCAGTGTCATGTGAACCTCTTACTGAAGCATAAGTACGGTTTTGCATCCAAGCCATGAAGAAAGGAAAAGCAGCAGGAACGGAAGTGCTTCCTCACACCCTTTTCAAGATGGGGACGATGACCTTGTAGACTCTATTACCGATTTAATGCGTAACATCTAGTCACACGAGCGTCATCCTAGAATGAATCACTAACTGTCCCAATTTTTGGGGAATCTCGCAACGATTACGCAAACCACCGTGGAATAAGTATGATCCAATTCGTCACTAAGTTAAAAGCCTCTGTCATACTTCGACGTCTGACTCCGGTTAGGGAGACTAATATCCGCGAACAGCACGCAGGATTCTGACTGTTATGGCTTACAACTGACTGACTTGTGTTCATACATGCCAGTGGTCAAATTGATTGATCGATTAACCGACTGTTTGAATTCTGGCTTGACGGCATTCGCATGTAGTGNCATGTAGTGCAACGTGAGCCGGAGTCGGCCTGTCTGTCTGCCTTCCTTCCTTCCTACACGCTGATCGTTCCTGACTGTTCTCCGGTTTGTGTACCGGCTACATATTTGCTGTTTACAATAAACTTACTGCTTAATTCGTTGTGTGCTCCTTTACCTACTTAATTTAGAACACAACACCGACCAGTTGGCGAAAGTTTACGGCAAGCTGAACAGGTGGTTCGTAACTAGCAGAGGTGTTCGTCATATGCGCCATTCGCCATTCCTGTTCAATTTCATCACACACGAAATAATGGAGAATACACTGAGTGGTCTCCGAAATGTTAGTATTGGATGGGTAGCTGGTGAAAAGCCGTACGATTTAGGGTACACTGACGACATTGTTTACCTATTCGAATGTATGGAGGGTGCACAAAGAGCACTTGACAGATTAGCAAGTTTTGCCGCTCAGTTCCGCATGCGTTTTGCACATTCAAAGTGCAAAGCGATACTGCAGGACTGGGTGTCGGCGAGTTCTGTTCTGAAACTAGACTGTCAGGATTTAGCTCAAGTTGACTGCTTCTCGTACTTGGATAGTTACATGGCCAACGACGGTAGCGCATCAACTGAGATAACCACACGCGTTTCCAAGGCTCGATCAGTATACGCAGGACTTAAACACCTGTGGCGGCGACGTGACGTTTCACAGAAGTTGAAAAGTCGCATATACTGCACCTACTGTACGGTTGTGAGACCTTGAACTTGCGGGTGGAAGAAATCCGTCGTTTAGCAGTGTTCGACAATCGATGCCTACGCAGTCTGGCCCAAGTGGGGTGGAGTGAACGGGTTAGTAACTTAGAAGTCGTCGGGTGTTTGGGAACACCTCAAACAGGAACTGGCTATCGCATCGAATCCATCTCCGTAGGCTTCGTTGGTTAGGACACGTGTTGCGTATGTCCGACGGTCGCCTACCGCAGCACGCCTTATCCGCAGTGAGTGTTACAGACTGGAGAAAGTCACGTGGAGGCCAGCAGATGACGTGGAGATGAGGCATGAAGAAATGCAGAGAGATTAGGTGGAGTAGATGTCTCTCGTCGCCCAAGTTGGGGTCCAAAACTGGATGATTGGAGACAGTGAACGCCAGGGCGGCAAACCGATAGCAGTGGCGATCTTGCGGTCACTTCTTATCAGACCAGAATGCTTGAAATAAAATGTATACACGGTCGAACTGTGCTGTGTTGATCATAGAGGTTCGCTTTCTTTTCCCGGTCCCTAAAAATAGACCCAATCCCTAGCCTCCTTACACATTCTTACCTACCTTGTATGCATTGAATTTGGCAGTGATCAGTGAAGTTAGCTTCACTGTATTACGCTGTACAATGACGATGATAGGTAGAGACGCTAAGATGCGGCCCCAAAACGGTACGATCTGTTTTAGAAATCCGTGCCCCATAAGGATACAAAAACACATTATAGGTGAGGAGCACGTGTACGGTGAATCAGAAAGCTGTTTTCTTGTTTTCTCTAATATGTACCTCACTTTCTCCATGGCCACTTAATTTACCCTCACAAATCTTCACTCTTGAGTGTAAGTGCTATCAACAGAGCCGATCGATTAATCATGTGTTCATCCCTTTGTACCCACTGCAGATACTCGTCCAAACGCAACTTGAACAGTCACCTTTTCCACCACTGTGGCTAGAGACGAGTTCCAGAAATTTATCGCTCTTTGCGACAGTTGATAAGTCAATAGTAGTCCGACGGACTGAAGTTTCTGTAACGTGAGTGATCTTGTATGTGTTGCTCCATAATCAAAGAAATATACGACAGAGGCTCTGAGTTCGTCAACTCCAAAGATCTCTCTTATGCACATTGAGTCCCGTTTCATGAAACGAAGTGTAACCAGAAACAATTCGGTGAACTGTAGTCAACCCTGGTAGATTATTTCACGTATATTCTTTAGTGTTAGAAAGTTACACATCCTCCAACTTGAACAACTTATCAGTCGTGCAACGGTGTGATACTGCGCCACCGTACGCAAAGTGAAACCTGTCTTCAACCTGTTTTCTTGGCAGCGATCAGTGAAGCTCGCTTCACTGTATCCCGCAGTACGATGATGATGATGACTTCGACAGATTCCCCGCAATCTCATTCTTGATTAGCAGTAGGAATCCCGGAGCTGTTCTCCTTTGGTGCCGCAGGACCGTATGTACTTCGTAGTGAATAACGGTAGATTCACGGGATTTCCTGGACCATGCAATGAATTCATGGGGATGAATTCTCAAACGGAATTGATGGACTCCTGTGGCACCTTCACACTAAAGCGTTTTCGAAAAGGATGAAAAAAGTCCGTTGAGGCCTATGACCTGATGGGATGCAGTAGACCACGTGGTGTTAGCCTACGTTAAACGCAGTTATCGAGGCCCATTGGAGTCCCATTTTGGGTGCAAAAGGACTCCAATGGGACACAGATGGAAAGGTTGTGCGGACAGGGTGAGTACCGGTGATAATCGCATCCTAAGAGTAGGAGCAGACTGATTCGGATACAGCTGGAATGCCCAGAATAAATCCATAAATATGTCCCCATTGTTGGGTTAAAACCATGTTTGCTTTCTACTCCGCTCAACTTGTCCCCATACCTTACGCTGAAAAGAAAACTAGTTTAGTGACGATCAGTAAATGAAGATAATTTTCTGAGATATATAAAAATCATCAAGCCTGTGATTGTTTCACCTCCTTCATTAGAATTGCCATACAGAATTCATACGAGAGAAAGGAGGAACTCACGCTTCTGTGTCTTCTAGCTTATGGAGTCCCTCCACGAGATCATGTTGTATGGTGGAAAGTGTGGTGTAACCCAAACGCTTTTTGAGTTCATTAGAACGACGTATTTTCACTGCAAGAGTTTCTCTGAGTGTTTGAATGTCTTCTTCGACCTAAAGTGAAATCAGATTGTGGAACCAAAAGCTCTTTCAGAACTTTCAATTTTCATCAATTTTTATTTTGACATTAAATCTAATAAAAATGGTGAAAACAAACGTTGCAGTCTAGCAGTGCACTTTTAATTATGATTCACTTTGATGAAGGAGCAAATGCACGTGATGCATAATTGTGTGGAAATCACTGACCTGTGCAAGCTCAGCCTCTAGTAGCGATTTCTCTTCATTGATCACATCAACCTTCTCTTTATCACCCGCCTCTGTTTGAGAAACAGGGGAGACACCGCCATTCTCCATATTGCAGAGTGAGCAATTTGTAACTTTACCGGTCACGAATGACGATGCAGTTCGGTTCACCTTGAGGAATAGCGCTACGCGACCTTGAATTTCAGGTCAGTCAGGTCAGGTCAGGTCAGGTCAGGTTGCACAGGACTGAATATGGCCACGGCCAA